TTGCAGGGTAGAACCAGACCATTTTTCGGGATATTTATGTAGGAATTGGTAAAATATTCTGATTGATCACAAATTTAAACGTATCATCCCCTAAAATTACGTTCCATAAAAAGGGGACGAAGTATGAAAATCATTTGTAATGAAATTGAGCATAATAATGAAAGAACGTTTATGGGGTTTTTTAGGGGATGATACGTTTAAATTTGTAATCCATCAGAATATTTTACCAATTCCTACATAAATATCCTGAAAAATCGTCTGACTCTACCCAATTACGTTCCTAAAAAAGCGTCTAAGTTTGAAAATTATTTTTAATGAAATTGAGCATAAATTCTAGAACTTTTATAGGGATTTTTAGGGATGAGGCGTTTGAGTTTACCCTCAATCTGAATATTCAAAAAATTCCTACCTAAACCTCCCTAAAATGGTCCGGCTCTACTCAATTACTTTCCCTCAAACGGCGGCTGAAGTTTGAAAGTTACTTTGAATTAAATATTGATCATAAATGAACGAACTTTTATAGAGGTTTTTAGGGGATGACATGTTTAAATTTATACTCAAGCTGAATATTTTAAAAATTCCTATCTATCCAGCCCTAAAATGGTCTTGCTCTACCCTATTACGTTCCCTAAAAAGACGACTGAACTTTTGTAAATTATTATTTTCCATGAAATTGAAAAACTTTTATCGAGCTTTTTAGGAGATGATACGTTTAAATGTACACCCAATTTGAATATTCAAAAAAATCCTACCCAAACATCCCTAAAATGTTCTGGCTTTACCCCATTACGTTTACTAAAAAAGGCGACTGAAGTTTGAAAATAATGTTTAATGAAGTTGGGCACAAATGAAAGAGCTTTTATGGGTTTTTTAGGGGATGATACGTAAAATTTATAATCAATCAGAACCTTTAACAAATTCCTACCTAAACATCCCTAAAAATGGTTTGGCTCTACCCCATTGCATTCCTTAAACAAAGCCACTAAGTTTGAAAATCATTTTTAATGAAATTGAGCACAATAATGAAAGAACTTTTATGGGTTTTTTTAGGGGATGATACCTTTAAATTTGTTATCAATCAGAATATTTTACCATTGCCTACATAAATATCCCGAAAAATGGTCTGGGTTCCCCTTACGTTCCTAAAAAAAGCGTCTACGTTTGAAAATTAATTTTAATGAAATTGAGCATAAAATAATAATAATAATAATAAGCCATTTATTGGACATACTTCCACCTCAATAATATATAATAACAAAACAAGAAAACAATTTAAAAAAAAAGAAGAAAAGGAGTGTCCAAAGGGACGAAGTTCAGTCTTGCCAAAATTAGCTGACTGTTCTACCACTTAATCCCAAATTAAAGAACTTTTATGAGTTTTTTAGGGGATGATACGCTTAAACTTATAATCAATCTAAGTATTTTAAAAATTCTCACCTAAATATCCCTGAAATAGTCTGGTTCTACCCCATTACGTTCCCTAGAAACTAAGTTTGAAAGTTATGTTTAATGAATTTGAGCATAAATTAAAGAATATTTATGGGTTTTGTTAGGGGATGATACGTTAAAAGTTATAATCAATCAGTATATTTTAATAATTCCTACCTAAACATCCCTAAAATTTATCTGACTACCGCATTGCGTTCCCTAATAAGGCGACTAAGTTTGAAAATTATGTTTAATGAAATAGAGCACAAATTAAAGAACTTTTATAGGGATTTTTAGGAGATGATGCGTTTAAATTTACCCTCAATCTGAATATTCAAAAAATTCCTACCCAAACCTCCCTAAAATGGTCCGGCTCTACTCAATTACTTTCCCTCCACGGCGGCTGAAGTTTGAAAGTTATTTTGAATTAAATATTGATCATAAATGAACGAACTTTTATAGAGGTTTTTAGGGGATGACACGTTTAAATTTATACTCAATCGGAATATTAAAAAAAATTCCTACCTAACCAGCCCTTAAATGGTCTTGCTCTACCCCATCCCTAAAAAGACGACTGAACTTTTGTAAATTATTTTCAATGAAATTAAGCATAAATTAAAGAGCTTTTAAGGGTTTTTAAGGGGATGATACGTTTAAATTTATAATCAAGGTGAATATGTTAAAAATTTCTACTTAAACATCCCTTAAATGATCTCCCTCTATCCTACTCCGTTCCCTAAAAAGACGACTGAATTTTGAAAATTATTTTCCATGAAGTTGGGCATAAATGAAAGAACTTTTATAGAGCTTTTTAGGAGATGATACGTTTAAATTTACACTCTATTTGAATATTCAAAAAAGTCACACCCAAACATCCCTAAAATCGTCTAACTCTACCCCATTGCGTTCCCTAAAATACGACTAAATTTTTGAACATTATTTTCAATGAAATTAAGCATAAATTAAAGAAGTTTTATAGGGTTTTTAAGGGGATGATACGTTTAAATTTATAATCAAGGTGAATATTTTAAAAATTTCCACCTAAACATTCATAAAAATGGTCTGGCTCTACACTATTACGTTCTCTAAAAGGGCGACTATAAGTTTAAAAATTATGTTTAATGAAATTGAGCGTAAATGAAAGAACTTTTATGGGTGTTTTTAGGAGATGAGGAAATTCAAATAAAAGTCACCCTTTTACAACCGAGAGTAGCTCTAGGGTCTTCATTGATTACAAGGAAGGAAAAAAGCTAGTGAAACCCTTCCAGGAAATGTGCTCACTTACTTTCTTACTTTTCCAATTTTCATTTTACAATTAATTATAGTAGTACTCACGAAATCGCGTCCCATCAAATCAGAACGAATGATTCGTATGCCCAGTCGGTTCTGAAATCCCAATAGTGGAAACCACACTAAGAAGGTCTGAGTATTTCCCCATAATAATTCTTCAATTATGCTGTCTTTCAACAAATGCATCATCAATCACTAATTAATTAATAAAAGATTGCATGCAAGAACAAATTCAACAAATATTTTACATTTTCGTATAAAAATCTTCAAGATATCCTAAATTGTATCAAGGCCCTGTAAGTTAATCTTCAACCCCCAACTAACAATTAATGAAACCAACACTGACGTTAAAACAGAATGTTTATCAAGCTACAGGGAAAATTCCCAAAACGATTGCACTCAGATCTTTATAAACTTAATTGAAGCTATGTTATCCACTAATTTGCTATGTGCCTACATGAGAAAACATCACGCACGCACCCTCTATGTCAAATAAACAAAGCTACTCATAAGTACGACCCAACTGATAACTAATTTACAGACATTACGCAAACTTAGACAAAGCCCTGCAAATTGAAGTTTATAATAACAAGCGCCTAGCGCTATTACTATTGGTAATTATAAGAGATACCAGATTTCAGAACTCGTGTGTTTCTTACGCAAATTACAATTGAAGCCAATGAGAGTCGCATCCTCAAAATATCCACTTTTTTTCTATTGGAGGACGATGTATCATTTCATTATATCGGATTTTTCTAAAGTAAATTACATTTTGTGTTAAAAATACAATGTGCAGAGCACAACACTTGAAACTCCTTGACGATCGTTTATGAAATTTTAAAAATTGTAGAAAACTTCCTTATTGTTTTTCTGCTTTCACTCTTGTAATCAGTGTAAAAAACACTACCTTGCATCATTTATAATAACGAAGTTAGCAATAGTGCCGACTTAACTTTGAAAACCCTTATATCACACAACCCTTCATGTCATTAACGTTTCAAGGATCATGGTTAAGATGGAATTTAAGACAGGAAGTTAGGTATATGAGTAGTTGGAACACTTTGTAAAAAGACGCAATTAATTTGGAATGCGAGTACGGAGTACCATAGGTAAAAATTTTACTTTATACAGAATTAAAAAATTGTATGCTTACATAATTGTAACATCAAAAAGGGTAAACGCAAATTAAGTTTTGGATTAAAGCAAACGCTTTCAAAAAGGGAATCTTATTATGAGTAAATTTCAAACGAACTTTTTACTTACCTTGACTTGGATGGTTTATTTTCGAATAATGTGTCTGAGAGTTAGTTATTACGCTGTACCTACTTATGTTTCTAATTACTACTACAGGTATATAAAGCGAAAATTGTTTTTCCAAGTTGCGTGTTATAAGTAAATGGGTGCTCTAGAGGTGAAAAAAATTAAATATGTTTGTGTTGAATTCCGTAGATGGATTTTGACAGGCCCCCAAAAACCAATTAACAAATTTAGGGCAGTCAACTTAACATGTCACTGTATAAAAGCTTATTACGCGCTTGCCGAGCACAACATTCCGTTTCGTATTCACAGGTGACACCAGGGGGTTTTTAGATCAGTTTCAGGATGATACTAAACTTCCAAAATGGAACGAAATGTGAGTGGTTGGTCGTTGTATTATGTTAAATACCGCCCTTCTAAAAGAACGACCAAAAATGTACGAAGCCTCAATTCATATTTTGAAAAAGTAACTAAGTACGTTTTAACATAATTATTAGATCTATTATTATATTACAGTAATGGTGTATTTGTAATAACTAGATCAGCTCAAAATCAAAATAAAGGAGCACGTATTGTATTGTCTATAGATCTAGTCCCCCAAGTTATACCATATTTTATTTTAGGACTTTATTTTTAAGTTTCAGCCAAGACTGCAGCTCTATACTAAATATCCATGCCCGAATCCGGGATAAGATTATGCAAAAAATTCACAGATCTCGCAATTTGTGCAACTATCGGAAGGTGTTGAAAGTAAACACGCTGTAACATAATATAATGAACAAGATTTATTATGACGTTGAACCAGAAGTAAATCAGCATATGCATTTTTGGTATTAAAGATCAGTATGTTATTAGCAAAGTTCAAATTGACAGCCGGACAGCCAGCCAGCCTTAACGAATATAATAACCATGGATAAAAATGTAATACAAATAACTAACACAATGAGAATAATGTTATTTTGTACGGTACATATTGTACTGCAGACAGTGCATCAGAAAAGTTGAACCGATAATAATAATACCCCTGTGGGTTCGGGGATAGAATTGGTCCACTCCCGTTCTGGAGATCGTAAAAGGCGATCAATGGGCACTAAAGGCGATGAATCCAACCGCCTTTAGTATTTACCTACCATTTTTCTTTCCAACTTCACACCCTTCTTCCCTACTCTCCTTTCCCAGGCGCAGGCGGATATTTGATTCTATTTTGAAGAGTTGACGTGTACCAGTCGTCCCATATTATTTATGAAAAAGGTTGTACAACAAAAGAAACGTTAAGTAGAAGAATGCGATGAAGAGACCCTGCTTCTGAACCGCTTGTGGATGGGACTAGTTCAAAGGAAACCTCCAAAAGGCGTATGAAGTGGAATGAAGATGAACCGCTTCATTTTCCGTAACATGGAGATTACGAAGTTGGGAACAGACAAGACCATGTACAGAGGTAAATTACACCATGCTTTTATTGCACAATACCATTGATTATATACTTACGAATATATAATCAATGACAATACCCACATATTTAGCGCACTTAACTGCGTAACGGATTGCAGATCAGCTGATGAGTGAATTCCTTCCTTCCTTCCTTCCTTCTCGAAGAAATTCTTTAGGTATTTATGAGTGTATGTAATTTGAACTCTAATTCTTATTATATTTAGTTATGCTCAATTATTCACAATTAATAGTCATATAGAAATAAAGTAGTATTTCCGACTTTTATATTCAGACTACTTTGGTCTAAATAGTCCACTACTTGGTCCCCTTGCTAGGTCTTTGTGTGGAGCTTACTCCTATCCCAGAAATACCTGCCAACTTATCTATTATCTAAATAAAATCACATTTTTTGTCCGGTATCTTAAAATCAGATCACATGAAGCATTTTGAAACTAATTCGAGTTTATACAGGATTCTGCTGCATCTTCATTAATTATAGGAGACAACCTTATTGTAAACAACCGTTTAAGGATTTACAAAATCCAACTTTTATTGTAGACTATGTAAACGATCTATTATCGATATGCAAAAACAATAAGTACCAAGGAAATTCTCGAATGTTTACGAACTAAAATAAACTACCATAGTTGTTAATATATACCAGATGACAAGTTGCGCCTTAAAACTAAATTAATGAAAATAGTGTATTGAACAATTTTTCATGTAATTGAAAATTAAAATTTTGACATCATGCATGACATCTTTCCAGACATATTTCATTATGGTCTCAGCCGATCGCTGTTGTATTTCCTGAAATTACGCTGGAGACTTTCAATTTTCCTAAACAATTACTTAACTATGGAGAATTACACATCCCAAATAGCAGTCTTCCTGTTCAGTGCGAACATTTAACTAATAGACGCCAAGTGAGACGATTTCATTTGTACATTTCCATTGCTTATAGGAGATTTTGTAGACTAAAGTGACCCAGTTTGGACATTTTTGCTGACATCTCTTAAATGAATTTAATTCCGTTTGTATATCAACTTAACTTCGAATATCAAACATGATTTACAGATACACTAAAACTAAGGTTTCATTTTCTTTTACATTATGTGACAACTCATCAATCAGGAATCCCAAATCTCGTAAAAGCATTGCTCTAAGCTTCTGTATTAAATCCAGTCTGAAATTTGCAAATTTTGTGTTAAAAAAGAATATATTTACAAATATTTGTGAAACTAAAAACGATTAAAAGTTATTATGCTAATTTAGAGAACACTACTATGAAAGGTTTAGACAAGTTCACTCATTTTATAAATGATTATCTTTTTAAAGGAACAGTTTACAAAGCAGGGTTGAACAGAACGTTTTATAAAAAACCTACATATACGAAATTAAACATTTTATTTGCTTAAAACAACAAATGTCTACTGGAACAGAATGGGAATTATAACTTTCATATTCGAGCTTTTGTAATATCAGGTAAAACTAATAACAGTAAGACATCTCTCAGTATACCTTTTAATATACGTTTATTGCTAAAAGCCAAGAATACGTACGTAGATACGGTACATATCTACAATTCTATTTTTTTTTTATCTTCAAAGTCAAAGTCCAATGTTTCCCGGGAAATTTAGTGCGAGAGCACACTGAAAATTATGTTACGAATTGTGTAATAATAATAATGATAATAATCAATCTTGTTAGTTACAACCATAGAGGAAATGCCCTCCATGTTACAAACTATGCCTGTGTTTTTTTCGGAAAGTAAAAATCAAGCTCTTAAATGCTTGTCATGGTGCCATACAGACAGTGTTCTTTTTATACACAAATGGGAAAGGAAATTGAATAAAAACTCATAATTTTATAAGAAAAAAAAATATCACGAACACAACCAGTAGATGTCAAGGGAACCTTCTTCGGGACAAAAACCCTGGCGTAGCCCAGACAAATACACGAACTAAATTACCAAAGACAACAAAAGCAAAAGAAAATCCACCAAAAATTTCAAATTGCGTAATAATAAAAATCAGGTCGCGAATTTCAGATTCTATGAACGTGATATTTTGTCCAAAAACATCAATTCTTCTTCTTTACAAGGTAAATATCCCTTTCCGTTTCTTATTTATTACTTCCTGGAAACTAAGAAACGTAAACGGCTCATATCTCACACGAGTGCAAGAAATTTTTGGACCAATAGTACCTGAGGAGCTAGCACATCCTGTTTACTTAACTTATATAAATCTTTAATTAGAAGCAAACAAGATTACGGCACCATATGCGCCAGAAAATAGCACATCATGAAAAAACTTAATTTCATCCAAATATCAGGTTTAAGACTAGCCCTGGGCGCCTTTAGAGCTAGCCCTGCAATTAGCCTCCAGTATATGACAGAGAAACTATACTTATGTCCTGACAAAACCCTCAACAATGTGCTACTGAAAGACATTGATCTATACAACAAAATATAATGCTCATTCTATGTAAATGTCTCTCCAGCTAATAACTGACAATTAACAGTTGATGCTGGGTTCATATAAATAAATTTAAAAAAATTTATCAATCTCTATTAATAGCTATTTAGGGAAGGTTTAATTGTAAAATTACATATAACATTTTGTTTGCAGTACGAATTGATAATTAAAAATTGTAGATTTTGAATGCAGCCCTATTACATTAATCTCCTACGATAGAATACGTTAATTTTTTAGTAAAAAAAAACTGTTTAAAAGAAGGTCGCTAGTCAATCAAATCATTGAGCAGTAAGCGCTTTTACTTTGTACTTAAAGCTTTCCTCCACTTTCGAAATTAAACATTCCTGGTATATTCTTTGGCTAAAAGGATTTTCCTTTATTTAAACTCGTTTTGTCTGAGAAATTTTTAAGCTGATCGCATTTGCTAACAAACCTTGTTCATTAAGTAAATTCTCGCGAAGAAACCGCCGAATCCTTTGTTCCGGATTTCCGATGTCTACTATTAAAATTCGCACTTTACACGATACCGACGCATACCGTAGCAAAGGTCGATCAGTTTTATTTCTTTTATTCCATTTTAGAAAATAAAAGTACGAAAATGTAATGCTAACTGGAATAATGTTGAGGACTCAGCTGCACAGATGACGTTCGAAAGGCATAAAACACAATTGTGAGTTTTAACATTTTTTGCGCGATACATTCAAATTCGGAGAGTCAACGAATGTACACTTTGCTACCTCAATCGATATTGCGCTATTAGAGCTTTTCGCGGATTGTCCTTTCGATTCGAGTATCATTATCCTTCAAGCTTCAAATGCAGGTCTGTATAAATTAGCACTAATGGTTTACGACTTTGCATTGAATTACCGTTATAGTAGGTATTGCCAGTAGGGTCTATAAAAGCAAGTAGTTCTGGCTTTGAGCTGTCTATTAAAATTGTATTTCAAAATCCAGACTAAACTAATCATGCGACAAATTAATGCTATACAAAAGGAAGAGTCGCGCGTTCGCTGTTCAATACCTAAAATAGAGTAAATTATACATTATTTAATAATAGTAACCGATAGAAGATATAAACAGGATATTATTTCTACAGATTCAGAATGTATTTCTAAAGCAATAACTCACAGTATATCTTATCTACCAAATTTCTCTGCAGAATACAGAATCTTAGACTTATCTTAGGAATTTAAGTAAGCTCAATTCCCGTATACTTTTTATATTTTTACAGGAAAACGTATTATTTTAAAATGCAGACTGGATTAAAGTTTTTAATTAGTAGTATGTTTCTGGAACAAAGGCTTAAGAGCATGAATCTAAGCTACCACAAGAAGGTTTCGTTCATTTATAGGACTAAGGGCCAATTGCACCGTATTCAGTATCCCTTAAAGTTAAGCATAACTTAAATACCATAGCAACATTAATAATCGTTGCCAGTTCGACTTAACTTTAAGCAAGGCTTAATTTTGTTGGTGCGGCTGGGGCTTATGGCCATTTGCTCCGACAAATTTAAGCGGAGCTTAGCTTAAGTGTAGCTTAATATCCATGGCTGCGATTATTGAGACAATTTGTCGGTGCAAACGGATATTATTAATGATTTAAATTTAGATCTATGCGCCAATGTGTCAAAATGTGACACCTGCGGCTAAATGACGGCTGTTTTAAAACTGAAAACGGCAACTAAATTTAAGAATTTGATAATGAAATTATAAAAATTTGCATTTTAACATCAAATAATTCGTAACATAAAATAAAAATATATAACTTTCAAGTGTTTGAAAGACGATTTAAAGGAATGGTCAGGGTTCTGGCTCCAATTCAAAAACATACACGGAGATACGCAATTGCCTGTTTCAGAAAAGTTTCAGTATTTGGTACAGTTAATCACAAAAGGCTGCAATGAGGTCGTGTCAAGTTATCCTCAGGCTGATGACAACTACAGTAAAGTCACATTTAAGGTCTCTAGAGTCTCACTGGGTGTTACAAGAGAAAAATATGCGGCTATGCTATTTCCACTGGTTGAGTCAAGTTTGCCCAATGAAACTTTACAAGCTTGGCAAAAAAGTTATTTTATTCAAGATACAAAACTCGATCAAGTAGCCGATTTTATGATATTTCTGTACAGACATAAAAGTGTTTGGAGTAAATTGCAGTCCTTTTTTATTAAATGCAGTAATTGTCTATTAGTTAGATTTAGACAATGTTGCACCATCGAATCAAAAATGTGCATAGTCTCTATGTAGACAATTGTATTGTCTCCGTTTATTCGATGAAGGAAATGGAGCATCTTAATAATAATAATAGTCTTTATTTGGTTTCTATTAAAATCATAAAGTTACAAAAAAAAGGTTTAAATAAAATTTAAAAAAAAAAGGAAAAGAAAAGGAAAATAACTAGGTACTACTTTCAGAAACCCAACCACAAGGGGAGGTTCAGTATAAACTGCTCTTCCACCTAACCTAGTTTTGCAAACTTTATGTATCACTCATTGCATCTGTATTTACACACCAATTTGCATACATTTTAGAAG